GTTGACGTAAACAGTAGATTCATTTTGAACTGTAGCTTTTACCACTATTTTTTTTCCTTTCATATACAATTTTATACATTTCAATAAGCATGTAATAAAAAAGAACTAGTGATAAATCAACAGGTGGGGTGTTTGCCCGGGGGGTACTCACCATTATTGCCTATAAAGGAAGGCTCTGCCTAAAAGGGGTATCTTTTTCTGGCTTCAGTATATGAAAGGGTAGGGATTTTACTCGTTGAAGTATATGAAAGGGTAGGGAAAACTGTCATTTGGGTCTGTGAAATGGCTAGTAGGGCTCACAAATGAATTTTATGGCTTTATAAAGTCAAGAAAACTTTCTATTTGTGTGATTGATTCCAATTTAAAAGACAGTTCATTTAAAGTGGTCAAAAGAGATGCAAAGTTCTAAACAAGGTATGTGAAAGGGGTACCAAATGTCAATAGAATTGAATGTATACGAAAGGGGCACCTTTTTCGTGAAAAATGGTATATAAAAGGGTAAGGGGTTGGACCTCGGGGTGGAACCTCCCCAGGTAAAAATTTGTTGAGTACCACCCCAGGGGTGTTCGTTGTTAATAATAAAAAAGTCATTATGCAATGAAAATTTATTACTGCGCGCCAAAAGAGGCCACTGCTAGCACAAAACTTTTTTCCTCTCCATTATGAAAAAGAGCAATCTCCTATAGCCCCTTGTTACGAGAGAAAGAGAGATCAGGAGATGTGTCACTGATAAGAGAAGGTCAGGTCCTCAAATCCCCTAGTTCTAGACACAACTACCGTAAATCCTCTGTTAAGCCCCCCCGGGGGCTTATTTTTTTCAAGCACTTTTGAGGGGGGGGCTTCTTTAATTTAGCGAAACGCATCACCTGAGCAAAAATACCATGGTATGAGACAGAGTAGACTAATGTGTTGTACAATTACAGTCACTTTTTCAAGCACTTTTGAGGGGGGGCTTAATAGAGAGGGGGGGCTTCTTTAATTTAGCGAAACACATCACCTGAGCAAAAATACCATGGTATGAGACAGAGTAGACTAATGCGTTGTACAATTACAGGGCTGTGCTCTAGCAGAGCCCGGTGGCCCCTGGCGCCTAACTTTGCCCTCGGGCGACTAGAAAATCACAGATTTTTCATACAAATCATATGCTGGGCACCCTAGATTTTACAGATTCAGAGGACTGGGCTCCCTTCAATTTTCCTTAGAGCACAGCCTTGAATTACAGTCACTGTCAAAAGTATTTAATTCAGTTGTGGGAGCCTAAAAGTAACAAAAACAAAATTCTTCTTCAAAAATGTGCTTTCGGCCTCATGTTCTTCGGTAATTTTTATGAGAATGGTTACTTGTATTGATTTGTCGTACACAACTTACAAACGAAAATCTCTGGAAAACTCCTCTTATATTTACATTTTTTATCTCTTACATTTAAATGTTTTACATAAACAGCCTTGAAATTTATGATACTATAATACTATAAGAAAATGGTGACAATTGTCCACAGAGAACTAGAGCGCAAAGTTGAGAAAGTTAAGCATATGAAGTTGGAGGTCATGTGGCCGAAGACCAAAAACAATATGAACTTCCAGCCTGAATAAACCATAACTGATCAGTCCACGTTAATCGTTAATTGTTGTGTGAAGAATAAGGATTGGGGAAGGGAGGGGGAGGGGAGGGGGGGCTTAATAGAGAGGGGGGCTTATTAACTCTCCTCCTCTGAAAAGGGGGGGCTTATTAGAGAGGGGGGGCGCTTAATAGAGGATTTACGGTATACACACAGCCCGCTGACTGGTTGGTTTCAATTTATTTCCCACCAAAATCCTTTGACTTTTCTTTAATATTGCTGGTAAGCTTCCTTAAAGAGTTATTATTACCAACCAACCTTCAAGGCTATGCATAATTTGTACGAGAATTCTGATTTCAATTGGAAAAGGATAGATATAGCTGACCAGTTTTGTCTGTATATACATAGACCACAATTCAATCACAATACACACATGTATATACGTAGTATAACTCAAAACTTGTACAAGAATAGTTCCCTACAGAAGCTCAACAGAGACAATATTCACTATGGCTTTTAAACTTCTAGCCCTATTTCTTATTCTTTGGACAGTCTTCAATATTCTTGTGTCCTTGCATGGGATTTTTGCATGCAGAGCAATAGCGAGCTTTCTTGGGGCCATCTCCGGGAGTTTTCTGGGTTTTTTTTCCCTTTTTCTTGTATTTGAACTCGTGCTTGCAACTGGTTCATCAGGAACTAGGAAAAAAAGTAAATTGAATACAGTACAATTCCGCAGCTCCTCTAAAGGTGATAGAAAGGGTTGTGAGGATGAAAATCTTTACTCCTTTTTCCACAAAATTCATTCCTTTCTCCAATTTTTATAGAAAATAATCTACATAAGATATTATAAACAGAAAAGATCACTACAGTCAAATACACAACTTATGCAGTTGTGGAAAGAAAGCCTGAAAAAATTCAGGCTTACAGGGATTCCAACCCTGATCTCTGTGATACCAGTGCAGTCCCTCTGCAGGTTGAAATTGAAATGAACTGCTGCAAGAATATGGCTGAATATAAAAACAGGCAATATTTTCAATAAAGAGGTTATACAGACTAAACTACAAAAATGTAATATCATTCAGTAATGAAGGGCTTGGAATAACACTTTGTGAACAAACGTTCTGGATGTTTTTTTCTTCCAAATCAGCTAAAAATTTTTCTCTGTGGCCTCTGATTCAACAGAAAAACCTTGCCCTGCATTTTTTTGCCAGTTTTAGCTTATTTTGCAAGAAAAAATGTATGCAAAAAATGCGTTGGCCTTTTTTTGTTAAAATAGGAAACAAAAGAAACGTAATAAGTTCTTTGTTTAGTAAAATCAGCAGAGCGGGAGATTATTCTTACCAGCAAGACATTCCAACATAAGAATATGCTATCATCTGAATATGGCTGCCCGGAAATCTTAGCTTACTACGTACAGATAAATATCGTACCTTATCGTAAAGACTGGTCCATCTTCTGCTTTGATTTAGCCGACGACCTTGTTCCCTTTAAAACTAAGTCCGCGAAAACTCGCCTTCAAAATGATGGGCTCCTGATCGTTGATCACTAGATCAAAAGTTCGATTGTTTTTAAGCGCGCACGCTGTAAAAATGGTTGGCTCCTATTTAGCTCTCCTCTGCTGGACAAAGTTCACCCATTTCCGACCTCTTTTAATGCTTTCCTCGCGTGAGTCATCAAAGATAGGAATTCGATGAAGCCTGATACCTCTTTGGGGATCGGCTGTTCTGCTACAACCGAAAACAACACAGGCGTCGGGCATGATTCCAGAAGAAGATTTCAAGAGAAGTCCGTGTTGCTCGCGAAGGTCGAGCTCCTTCGATGACGTCACAATAACACTCGGACCCATTCTCCACAGAGCTCGGTAGTGACCGCAAGAACCGCCAAAATTTGAAACTTTGAAAAATTATAAAAAAATAAGGAAAAACGCTATGACCAAAATTTTTTCGCACAAGTAAGCAGGATGATAAGAAGATTTCGTTCAGCGAAAAAAAAATTGGGGGGTTAGTTGCACTTTAAGGGAAAGCACTAGATAACATCGACCTGAACCAGATGAGTCATCGATATGTCAGTGGCGTCTTACAAAATGACTGAAATGATCGCCTCGACTTCAGCAAGTTCAAAATGATAGGAATACTATTGAACGTTGTGCTCGGTCAAGTCCAAAAAGGCTAACAAAAACATGACAAAGAAGTCTGTCGAGCTTCGTAACCATTCCACTTTAATAACTATTTTTAGAATGTTTTTTAATGAATATCAAGTACAAAGATCTGATCCACGTACTGTTACCCTTCATTGCCCAGTGAGTAGATAGCGCGACAAGGCAAGGCATATGCTTGATCATTAGGCCGATTCAGCGACAGAACGGGAACGTCAGTTGACGACGGCGCGCGCAAATCAAACAACTGGCTCGACCAATGGCTGAGCGGCAGACTGGACACCGGAAATCCAGTTTAGTCCTTTTCGCGAGCTTTGCCGTTCAGTCAAATGACGTTCCCGTTCTGTTGCTAAATCAGCCTAATGTATTATCACAACAATTGTGATTACGATCCAGAAAAAGAAAAGGTTCAAAACAATGTCCAATACATCCAAATGCATTCAATTTAACTTAATAGCGAGCTTAAGGGAAAGCACTAGATAACATCGACCCAAACCAGATGAGTTATCGATATGTCAGCGGCTTCTTACAAACTGACTTCCCTCAAGCGCTTTACATTTTAAGAAATTTGGAAAAGTTCGAAACTGCTGCAAATTTCAACAATTTTCAGGGAAGCAGTACAAGCGCGTAAAAGCTTTTACCCAAAGCTTTAACACTGCGTAAAAATGTCTCGCAAAATAACTTTTGTAACAGTTTTGGGCGTTCATTGTTTGCACCTTGATGGTGTGCTGTTTTGGCGGTCGAAATAACGCCCAACTTTAAGGCAAAAAGTCGATTCTGGTATAAACGCTTGCGAAAAAAAAAAATTAAATATAGCCCCTCGGGGCCACCGTAAGCGACAAGAACGTGAAATGTAAACAAAGCAAAAACCGTGTAAACAAAGGAGAAAATCACACCGAAGCAGGAGCCCATCAAAGTTATTTCCAGTACACCAAAGCGCAAAGAAATGATGGAAATTTTGGTATCTAAATAGCTATTGCTATCTGAATAGATAAAAAGGCGAAATTTTCCGTCGAAAAATATAAAAGGAAAAAAAATCCTGAAAAACAAGCAACTGAGAATCGCGTCTCTACTGTCGCAATTTGTAATAATCATCGCACTTTGTAATACCTGTCGCAATTTGTAATAAATTCATCGCACTTTGTAATACCTGTCGCAATTTGTAATAAACCGTGTCGCACTTTGTAATAAAAAAGCGGTCGCAGTTTGTAACAACTGTCCATCGCATTTTGTAATAAACTAAGCTGTCGTAATTTGTAATAATTCCATCGCACTTTGAAATACTTTTGAGAGTGATTCAACTTACTTCGTCAACATTAAGATAATATGAATGGTATTTTTGCCAACGAGCCATCCGAGCGAAGACGCTCGGATGGCGAGGCGGCAGCAGAATAGATCTGCGCAAGACTCGGCTGTAGGCAGAAAAATTCTCGATCGAGCTTCAAAAAGTGTAACCCAATGTAATGTAGATTCCCCTGAGACTTTGATTTGAGCCAATTGCAAGGACGGAACTATTGGGACCAATGAAAAGACGTGTAAGATTTTGGTGTGACCAAGTGGTGTGACTGTTGTCAACCAATCCAAATGCGGTAGCGGGCGCACAAGTATTTCTTCGCTGAATTCTTTTCGCTCCTTCGTGCCTTCTGATCGGTTTTGCAAGCCTTTGTTCGAGGAGGTGAGTTCTTTTGGTTGTCTTTTTTGCTTTTGTGTTTATTGAACTGTGAATAATTTCATAGCTTCTCAAACCCAGAGTAAATACAGTTGGTCAAGAGACCAAATCGAACCAGCGTGTTCGCCACTGAATTGAACTCTTGAACCAGCGTGTTCATCAATCGAACCAGCGTGTTCCCCCTGACTTTGGTCATGTTGAACTGAACGTTTAACCGGCCAGCGTGCCTTTACAAAGAAAATATCAATACCAATTTCCGGGTAAACTGACGGACAATACTCTTTGAATCAGCGTATTCTCATATCGAATCAGTGTGTACTCAAATCGAGTCAAAGTAGTGTAAGGAGAAAACGTGTCAGTCTGTTTATAATTATATCACGGTTCAATTCACACAGTTATCAGGTATTATGCTGTGTTCATTGTGCGTATTATTCTCGCTGATATTATATAATGACAATGTGAATATTGGGGGAAATATGAAGTTTTCCAGTTACTCAAGTTTATATTGTTTTCGACTTTACGATAAGCTTACATATATTGCGATTTATAGGGGAAAATATTTACAACGGAGAATTCCACACGCTTCGCGTGGAAGCTTTAATCCTTACATTATAACCAACAAAGAAGCACATATTATAAATGGAAATATAACAGAGGGTAACATTAAGAATAACAAGGCAACCTCTGGCAGACAACTGTCACTGGAAACGAATGACAATCGAAGGCATTTTATGAATTATTGCTTGACCCATCCAGGCAGGTATTCTTGTGCAGTGGACTCTTTTCTTGAACTCGCTTTTGCTATTTTTGGAGATTCGTTACAACATATTGAGCGTAATGAGTTTTTTGAAGCATTATACGAAGCATGTTTACATTTACAAAATTGTAATGTGGATACAGATATGAGCCTTATTAGAGAACCGGTTTGGTCCTATTTGAGACAGCGTTGCAACTCATTTGCTTCAATGTCTGCACATGCTGTATTTAGTGACATATTTACATTAAACACAGTTGGAACTATGAACCAGCAGTTGGAATCACTTTTTCTCATACGTCAGAAAAATCAGTCTGTTTGTTCATCCTGCAACAATGAAATTGTCAAAAATACATGTATATTCGTTATTTATACTACTTGCCAAAATTTGGGTCACAGCGTATTTCAAAATTGCATTTCTGATGCAATACTTCCAAGTAGCAGAGCACTTTTCTGTGATTTGTGTCAACAGCATTCTGGGGTTGTTTCAGTGCTGCAACATTTTGTTACACTTCCAAAATTTTTACTTGTAGAACTTTCATCGGCCTGTATCAGTCAAATATACTTTCCCCTCTCTATGGATGTATTAGGTGAAGGTTATTAACTCAAAGGCATGGCACGTTGTATAAGTCCTCATTTCACAATAGCTGTAAATAATTACAGTGAATGGATATATATAGATGATTTGTGTGTTTCAGTCAGACGTTTTGCCTCAATTCAGGATCTTTTGAATAGTTATCCCAATGGTTGGTTTTTTGCTATATTTGGAAAGTCTTTATGCACAGTTCCAAATGATTTACAGACAAACTTCATGCCTTGCCAAACATCTCTTTTAGCTGACAAATGCCATAAAACTGTGGAAAGTGTAACACAACCTCAAGAGCGTGAAATGTGTTTCATATCTGACAAATTCAACTTCTCTCCATGTCAAACTGAGCGTAAAACTCAACAAGATATGTGTAATGAGAAGAAAAGAAGACGATCAGAGATAATGAGAAATTACAGAGCAAAAGTAAAATGTTAAAAAGGAAGTGAAACTGATAGGAGGCTTAAGTTAGATGCACAAAAAAGTTACATGAAGGAATACAGAAAAAAAAAATCAGCTAATACAAATGACATAGACAAATTGAAAAACAGAGCTAAACAAAACAACTACAACAGGCAGTATGGAAAGAAAAAACTATTATCCATAAATGAAACCGAAAAACTGAAAAAAAAAGACCAAGAAAAAAGAATACATGAAGAAATACAGGAGAAAAATGGAAAAATCCTTAAATGACTCCATGTGTAAAAAGCAAATTGTTGACAATCAAACTGCATGTACAGCAGGAACAAAGTTGGCCAATAAAAGGCCAAAATATTGTCCTGTATTAAGTCATGATCAGTATTTATCACTATTTGATGCTATGAAGTATGGACAGCTACATGATCAAAAATGGGCAGCAGTAAATATGAAGAAGTTTCATGAGTCCATGATTTTCAAAATCTGGCATTGCCAAGTTTGCCATGAGGCATGGCCATTGTCAGTAAAAAACAAAAAGGTAGCACAATATATTTGTTCAAGATGTGTACGAGATAAAAACAGCATTAAAAAGTTTTCAGCGGAAAATAATATGATTCCTTCCCCTGTTCCTAAAGAATTACAAGGTTTAACCCAAATAGAAGAGATGTTAATTGCACATGCTTTTCCAGTTATTAGTGTTTACACAAAACCAGGTGGACAAAGAGCATATAAAGGTCACTGCATCAATTTCCCACAAGACATCCAAGAGCTTGCAGACACATTGCTAAGATATCCAAAAGAACTTCCTATAATGGTCATAACAGTGAAGGGCAAAGATAACACTAGCAAAGATTTAATTGTTCGAAGACAAAAAGTTTGTATGGCTTTGCATTGGTTAGTTGAGCACAATCCTGTCTACAAGAACATTAAAATTGACTTAAATTGTTTATCTTCCCTTCCAATTGAAGGAATTCCCAGTGACTTAAAGAAAGTCCACTGTGCTGTGGACAGTGAGCATGAAATAGATCCAGATAGAGGTCCACTTGATACTGATGAAATACCATTTAATAGTGAAACAGAGATAAGCAGCACTTTATTAAATCCTGTAGTTTTGAAGCCACAAAAGCAGCTAATAAAAGACGAACTTTTACAACAGCACAAAGCTACATGGCCTAGTAGAGAAACCAATCCGTTAAGTGAATTCAAAATTCAGCTACTAGCAACAATGGCTTTTCCCACTCTCTTCCCTGATGCTATTGGAGATCCAACCAATACTGCCACAATGCGAGATGTAACCCTAGGTGATAAAGTAAAGCACTTGATAAAGTTTGCTGAAAACATCAATGGCGAATGGGTGTACAGATTTGTGTGTCATCCACGATTTGCTTACTGGGCATTTAATATGATCCAAGGGCACAGACTTCTTAGTCAGGGTAGTATATTTCTTAAGCAACATCCAGGTGAGGCGCAGCTAACTGTAGAACAACTCAAACAAATGCTTACTTCTAATAGCTATTCTTCGCTTATGTCTAAGCTGATGCATTATGCCAAAAATATAACTGGTAGTAGTGCTTATTGGCATAAATCAAAAGAAGACTTAAAGGCTACAATAACTCAAAAGGGACCACCCACAATATTTTTTACTTTATCATGTGCAGAATATCACTGGCCAGAGTTTCACAACTTGTTGAAGAAAAGTAGCAATGAAAAACTGACTCCAGCCGATAGGCAAAAACATGTTTTGGACAACCCACATCTCTTAGATTGGCTGTTTTCTGAAAGAACTGATCGTTTTGTTAAGTATTGGTTGAAGGATTCATTGCAGGCTTCGTGGGATTGGTATAGGTATGAATATGCTGTCCAAAGAGGTTCTATCCATTGTCATGGAGTTGCTAAGTTGAAAAATGACCCAGGATTATGTTCCCTCACAGAGAAGGCCCTTAAGGGATACTTGGCTTCAAAATATAGATATGAAAAAAAAAAAATACGCTGTCTAAAGAACAGATTCTAAATATGGATAATGAAATACATGAAGGCAAAGAAGCTGAGTTAATTGTTTGCAGATATGTTGACTTTTTGTTGACAACCTGGAATCCTTGCTCTCCTGATGACGGATGGTCAAAACCAGAAATTCACCCATGTCAAAAATCATATCTTTCATTAAAAGCAAATGAAATAGCAGATGATTATGTACATTTGTTAAATTCAGTGGAGAGACATACTACATGTAGTACTAAATGTAACCCTATTTGGGAAAAGGGGGATTAAGGTGAATTTAGAAAACAACGTTCTAACGCGTTTAATCGGCTTTGTCGAAAAGCATGGAAACGCATTTTGTATGCGTTTAAACAGATTTTTAATGCGTTTAAACAACCGGCTCTGTTGCACGTCAATATTGCATTTCGTATGATGGAAAGTAAGCTAATTTAGTTGTATTTGCATGAATAAATTACCAGTGTTTTATTATATGAAATGCGAAGATTAGGGTGCATGTCTTCCAACTCACTGTGTCAAAATGATCAATTCACCAGCAACTTACCTTTTGCCTTTCCTTTCTACATAGCAGACGGCTAAAAAATTGCATTGCAGTAATCATCACATTCCGTCTATAATATCGTTTTTTCTGTGGCGCCTCATGTACACCGACTTTAGCCCACTTGCAGTGCAAGAATGTCGTGCTATCAACGGAGCAACCAAACAATTAGCACACGCAGGAAAGAAGATGCGCTTTTCGAGTCTTCCTAAGAATGGAGCAAGCAGTCGAATTTGAGCCTACGGATTCTGTAGTTTTCATGTTGAATACAATAGCCAACAATATTGCTCAAAGAAACGCAAACTACCTAACGACGCTTCAAAATGTTTCTATCGGCATATCGGGCTTCACCAACAGGCTGGTCAATCCTTTTTCTCAAGCTTGTTTTAATCTTTTTATGCTCTTTAAAACCTTCACATTCGACTCCTTCGTTTTTCCTCTTCAGAATTTTTGGCGACAAAAGCACGTCGCCAGAAGCGAAGCAGAATCGAAGAAATAATGGCGCAAGCCTTCGTCATGTATTTTCGCATTCAGGGTCACTGGTCACGATGTCGTGACGCTCTCCCCGTAACAACAGAAAATATCAGCTTTTCGCCCGCTTTTATAACGAGAAAACTTTGACTGTACCTCTAAGGAATGTGAGTAAGCTTGTGCGCAGGGAAGATCACTTATTGAATAAACCTCCAAATTCTATGTGTTATGAATCAAGGTTTCAATAAATTTCATTCCGTGACTGGCAAGTGTGGGAATGTTATTGCTAATTCCCTTGAGACATCCTAGGCTGTAATCTAATTGGTCGGCAGCTTTGCAGGAGATCCCATTACATATCTAGGCAAACATTTGCCACCGTTGAATGAAGGGCGCAAACATTCATACATTGTAAGTTTTTTGCATCTAGTTCTGTTTCGAGATGGAAGTTCTGTTGATGTTTTTGGATGGAACAGCTCAAAGGTATTTGAAAACAACGGCACTGTACAGTGAATTCTACGCTATAAAGTACCGACGAATCGAACCAAAGCAAGCAACACAGATACAAGAATCTTAGCTGGGGTACGCATGCACTTACAAGATTAAAACGTTCACGATAATGTACGTTCCTTAGTCCATTGTAAAATTTAACGACGACCAAAGTAAAATTGGGTTGAATTCGGTCATGAAAAAAGTGTAGCAGATCGTGGATCATGGAAAAAACGTCAAGGTGAGCGATGTCAGGCTTACGTTGTTGCAGCGAATCAAAAATCATTTGGTTTGTGTCCGTGCAAACGTTATGTAGCACAATCGCTCTTATTCTCTTTATTTTTAAAAAAGATAAACTTCATTGTCTGCATGTTAATGCATGTTCTTACATTTAGATGAGTGACCGTGATTGCTGAATATTTACAAAGCGAGACTGTTGCAGATTTGTTATGTCACGTGCTTTTTGTAACGATATCGCGCGTGGATTAAAAGTATCAGTTGCATTTTGACTTTCTTGTGGTTTTTACACCGTTACTGTACTAAGGCCTTGTCAACTCCTCTACCATGTCTCATGATTATTGCATTATTGAAGTCTGCAATTCGTTTTTTTTTTTGTACTGACGAGTGGTAGGCCATTACCGGTAACAACATTTTATCTTTTTCGAAGCCACTTTGCAGCCCAGATCGTGATTCGAATTTTCTGCACCGCTGCTACAGCGCGCTGTTTATCGCTCCATCATGTAATATTCATTCGTACATTCCTCACTTCAGCTGAAGTTTATGCTCATGATTTATGTACTGAGTCACCGAGTATTTAGTGTTTTGTTTTCTTCCTCGAAGAACTCCGCCATATTTGGTTGGACTTTCGATCCCGCATTTCCTCTCCGTTCCGAGTCCTTGAATTAAGTTTTCGATGGTTTGTCGAGCTGCATTGCTTCAAATAAATCAGAGTAACCCCGGATGACACCCAATAATGAAGCAAGTGTCCATGTAATTATGCGCTCATTTGAGGTAAATTAACAGCGTTTAAACGCGTCGTTTGTATAAAGCTCTTTCGACTTAAAAATCTTTCGCACGCGTGTTTTGTGTGTTTAAACGTTGTTTAAATACGTTTAAACGGTGTTTTAACACGTTTACGTTTAAAACGATAGAAAACACGTTTTTTTGTTATTCACCTTAATCCCCCTTTTCCTAAATAAGGTCACAAATATTGTCTTCAACAAGATGACAAATCTGAATTACATTGTAGGTCAACTTTCCTTATGACAACTGTGCTGAAACAAGACTTGAATTTGAACCAGTTAACACAAAAACTGGTGACATAAAATATAAAGCTGTCATTGTCACAAAACGAAATGATTCTAGATTGAATCGTCATCAGCAATTACGGCTTCAAGGGTGGAGAGCAAATTGTGATATTCAAATTGTTATAGATTATCATGCATGTCTGGAATATCTTGTTAAGTACACATCAAAAGCTGAAAAAGCATCTTCTGTAGTCAAAAATGCTTTCACCAATGTTATTAACAAAATGAATGAAACTTCTGATACTCCTGGTGCCCTTAAACAAGTTATGCTGAAAACTGTTGGTCAAAGAGACTACTCTATTCAAGAGGTCATGCATCATTTACTGTCAATAAAATTTGTAAGTGCAACTAATGAGGTTATCACTGCATCACTTGATGGATCGAGAAGAGTCCAACTTGGAGCAAACCACCAAATTTGTACTGTTCCTTCAATAGTTGATATCTATGCTGAACGTCATAACTATCTCAAGGTAGATCCACAATTATTAGAGTACAATTTTTGTCAGTTTGCATCAAAATTTATTTTTAAAGGTTCAAAACTTCACCAAAGAGGAAAAACGGTAATTGTGAAAACCTACCCTAATTATTCATCCAATCCAAAAAATGAAGACTATGGTTTATTTTGTAAATATCAGTTGCTTAAATACAAACCCTGGCAATGTACACCAGATGATGCTTGGGATAACCTTGAACAATCTGAGGAGACATACACGGCATGTTGGAAACAATTCTTATCAACAGATACTGCAAAATCCTTAGTCCCTGATTGGGAAACCAAACTGCAAGCTGTAAACAGCTACATGTACATAACACCCTTAGACAATGATTCTCTTGAAGAAGATAACAATGCAGACAATGAAAGAGAGGAGTGGATGCTCATGGCAGAATTAAATATTCAAACAAATGATTTTTATGAGCAATCCACACTTGTACAACAGGCATATTGGCATCAGGTATATCAACATTTCACAACAGAGGAAATAAATGCAATGCCTCTGTGGATAAACAGAGAGAAAAACAGAAGTAGTTCTCACTCTTTATGCTCAACAAGAATTGTAGATACTTCAACTTTTAGTGAAATGCAGCGAGTAGCTTATGATATTTTTTTCAATCATTTTAGTAGCAGTGAACAAAATCCTTTACGCCTTCTTATTATGGGTATTGCAGGAACAGGAAAAAGTTATGTAATTGATTCTTTAAGGAATTTGCTTCAGACAAAATGTAGGGTCTTGGCTTACACAGGAAAAGCATCTTTCAATGTTAATGGAGTCACCCTACATTCATTGCTTAAATTACCTCTTGGAACAAAGAGAAACTGTGATTTAAAAGGGATACCTTTGTAACTGCTTCAAACTAATCTTGAGAATGTTCAGTACTTAATAATTGATGAATACTCTTTTGTTGGCCAGAGTTTGTTAGGATGGATTGATAGTCGTTGTAGACAGGCTACTGGACGGACAGACACCACTTTTGGTGGTATTTCTGTTATTCTTGTGGGTGACATAGCTCAGTTACCACCTGTAGGTGATAAACCACTTTACCATTCTCTACCAAAAACAGAAAGACAAATGCAAGGTCTTCTGCTGTATCATGAATTCAAGAAAGTTGTTAAATTGACTGTTAATCAGAGAGTTCAAGGAAGTGATATTGAGCAATCCAATTTTAGGGCATTATTAACCCTAGCTCGTTATGGCGACTCAACTATGTCAGACTGGGAGTCATTAATTTTTCGAACTCCACATAAAGTGAATAATATTAATGATTTCAGACAACATTCAGTAAGACTTTGTTACCACAAAGAAAAAGTTGCAGAATTAAACATGAGTAAACCTAAAAGTTTGAATTAACCAATAGCCATGATTAAGGCATGTCACTCTCTTGGTGCACAAACTATAAGTGCTGATGACATGGGGGGCCTCGAGCCTGTTATTTACTTGTCAAAAGGTGCCAAAGTCATGTTAACTATGAATCTCTGGACTGATGTTGGTCTTTGCAATGGAGCAATAGGGACAGTACTTGACTTTGTTTATGCCGAGGGTCAGCAACCTCCATGTCTTCCTATATGTGTACTGGTTCAGTTTGATGAGGAATACAAAGGACCTTCAGTTTCTTCTACGTTTCAACATTGTGTTCCAATTTGTCCCATTACCCAAGTTTCTGGAAGCTTGGGACAAAGATATGAAAGACAGCAATTACCATTAAGATTAGCCTGGGCAATGACAATTCATAAATGTCAAGGTCTAACCCTCAGTAAAGCTTGGATTGATTTAGGGTCATCAGAGAGAACTCTTGGAATTACATATGTTGCTTTAAGTAGGGTGAAGAAAATTCAAGATATGGTTATTGAACCAGTGACACTAGAAAGATTGCAAGCTGTGAAAAAGTTGACTAATTTTAAGTTCCGATTAGAAGAAGAAAAGCGTCTTGATTTGTTAGCTAATGAAACACTTAAGTCACATTTTACAATGTCTTAGAATACTTTTTTCGTACCTTTAGATACTATTTCAAAACAATTAAAACTAGTAATACACTCTTCACAAAATGTTTCTTTAATCAGAGATCAAAATAAAAAGATTTTGATCTCCTGTCCCTGTAGTAACTGGTGGCAAATGATGTGGGCAAACCTTTCACGTTTTATCTTGTCTTTTTTTTTGGGGAGAAAAGCAAATGCTTTGTGCTAAAAAGTAAAACCTCAATAGTTAAAAATCCTTTTCCTACAGTGTATATATAGTTTACAGATAATTTTGGTATGTTGTTTTCAGATCTCCAACCAATTAAGTCATGTCAACAATAAAGTCAGACAACACAAACTCAGGTAAGTATGTGTGGCTGTAGTTCTAAATAATTATTTTAAGGTTTTAACCCCAAACTTAATAAAACAGGAAGCATATTCCTGTTTTCTTCAGTGCAGAGGCTATGGGAAGGTGACACGACAGTTACTGCAGAATTGAGTACTAAAAAATAGGAATTGTCACATTTCATTCAATTCATTACCTGAAGCAGCCCTTCATAATCTTCACACTAAAGTCTACTTAAAGTTTTTCTGACCATATTTGGTTTCATAAAGATGGAAAATTGTATTAACTTGTTGAACATTAATATTTCACATTTCTTATCTCATTTTAATTTTATTTCCCCTTTCTTAGATAATCACCGTGGCTACATTCAGAATTTAAGCCCCATTAAACGCTCACGAAATCAAAATCAGTGGTTCGATTTTGACCTCCAAACCAGCCCATCCAAGTTGAGAAGAGTTGTGGGATTTAATATTGCAAGTCACTCCACATTACAAGAACATGAGGCATCAAAAACAGCCGTAACCTTCAAAACACTAAGGAAAATGACAATAATCAAATCATATTCAACCAACAATCAATGGTCAGGGTTGCGCCAACCTTTGACATTGATTTTGACTATCAGCCCATCCATCAATCTCAAAAGACTGTACCCTCAGCTCAGCCTGCCAAAAAGATTACACTTGAAGAGCTCCCCACACTTCAAGTCAATCAGAAAGTGAACGTCACTGCTTCAATTTCACTGGGAAATGAAAAGCCTAAACCAGTTCAACTGAAAGCAACAAAGGAGATGACATCAGTGAAGGAGGATTGTGTTCTAGAAGATGAAACTGGAACTGCAACTATTCATGTATGGGATCCACTTATTAACCAGATCAAAAGTGGCACCACATATGTGATTGACAACCTTACTGTAAAACACTTCCAAGGAATCACCCATTTAGGAACAACACGTGCAACAACCTTTCAAGAGGCCGATCAGCAGCTGAAAACTCTAAGTTAATGGCCCTGCATTACTCCAAAATCCTGAGAAAGAAGCAAAAGTACAAAGATTTAAGATGATAAACAAACTAAGTATTTATATTACCTGCCAAGCATGCAAACGAAAAGTTAACGAAATGTCCCAACAGAAATCACTCAAATGTAAAAACTGTGGAGTACGACAGAGGCAAGCAGAGTGCAAGCGAGATGCATCTGTGCAACTACTTGTACATTTGGATGACAAAGATGTGTGGTTAACAGCATTTACAGATGTTCTGGAGTCCCTATTCGCCACCCACCCAACTATCTCCCTACTAAGTGACTCAGATACCATTGAAGAACTGCTAATGGATATAACAGACATTGAGTTCACAAACAATATGAACAGAAAAGTAATCTCAAAAATATCATCATCTTCACTAATTACAGGTTAAACTGCTCTGGAGAGTGTTCTTACTACAAACTTTACAAAGGATCATTTGATCAAAACGTTCAGTTTCGTTCTTTATTGTCTTTCATCTCATTGTGGACCAAAATTAATAATAATATAATTACAATGTCCTTTTTGGTTGCGATTTTACAATAATTATCAACCATGCACGTTCAAGTTATTAGTTGTGTTACTTGAAATATTATTAAGCAGACAAATGCTTTAGTATGTTTCTCTTCAGAAAGATGTAAGTACATGTGACCCCATTCTTTATGTGGAACAAGGCAACAACTGTCCTTATGCCTAAAAAAGAAAACTTTCCCATCTTAGTGGCAACCACCATTTTATAACAACCAAAACGTTGTCTCCCCACCTTCCTGCAACAATCGCCTTACTTCATATATAGGACTACCCTGCGAGCAGAGTCTACAGCACCTAATAAAATTATGTGCAAATATGTGTTTTAAAAAACGTTATGTAACACTTGTAAATTGACATTCAAATGTATTCAACATTTCTCAATAAATGGTTCAGATTTTCAAAAAAACAAATGTTTCTTACTGATACCTCCCTCTGCAAAGCTGATTTTATTATTTCAAAAAGATACTTCATCACATTTCAAACTTTTATATAGCGCTTTGTAAAGCAACAGGAATATGAGAACCACGTCTTCTCTCCAACCTTGATACATTCATGACACCTTTTCAACTAAATGATCCTTGCATTGGGAGGGGACCTGAGAAACTCTCAAATGCAAAATACGCATTTTTTTGCTCGTTGGCACTCTATCGATAGGTATACCTAGTTCATAAACAAAGGTGATGACGTCTGCAAGCACGTAACTTACAAAATTACGTATATAATCTATATCTCCGCTTATTTATACCATTTAACTTTATTCACCGTCCTAGGGGGGCTAAACATTTTTTTGTTATCAATGTTGATTAGTTATCTGACTTACGAAATTCTGTATTCTTAAACCTGGCACCCGGGGGAACGTACCCTCTTATATGACCAATACGGGGATGTGCCTCTGCACAGAGCATTGTCCGAGTACAAAATCTAGACACACTAGACACAAACGAGCCACTATTAAAAGGTATTTAATTTCCACAAATCGTAACATCCATCCTTACATCATTCAAATAAGGACACCAGGAAAGTTCAAGCTTTCCTTTTTAGATCTTATAACAGGTCGACACAACACCGTCCTTGTCTAACGCGCAATCTTAAAAGAAGTAATAGTGGCTTCCATATTTTGGCCAACTTAATCAGGCGAGGTCTGTAACACTGTCGAACCACAACAGAAACGTAAACACAAAATACAATTAGTCGCTGTCCGATACCTATGTACTGTTCCTTTTTTTTATAAAACTCACTTGGGGTCATACACTGAGCCGGCTGACCATTTGGTCCATTATTCTCTCTTGATTTGGTCCCATATAGGAACAAAAGGAGTATCATTCCATCTTAAAACAATTTTTTTCTATGGAGCCCTTTAAGGCAAATACTGTGGGGATAGTAAAAAATTATCTTTCCCCTGGTACAACACGTAAGACCTTGGAATTCTTCCGAGCGTGCTTAGGATTACCTTTTTCTACAAAATGGAAAGGACAATAAACCAAATCATCCATTACTACTTAAGTTACCCTATCTAAGGATCAAACCAAAGACACAAAGCCAACAAGGTAAAAAATGATACCCTATTTAAGGTTCGAGATCCTAAGCGGTACTTACCTATCTCGCCCATATATGGGATTATCCCCCCCCCCCAAGACTTCACGTGTCACGTGGCAAGTAAACTGAAGATGGATTTGGAAGACGATGCCAGGTTATTCATGAATTTTTTGTTGTTAAATGTTGCTTTTGTTATTTAAATATTTTGAATTCAAATTTATAAAATGATTCATATCCTTTTTTTGGTGACATATCACAGGAAGTTTCATGTCTTTCATAAAAAAGCGATTCTCGTTGGTCACATGATTAATCGAGGCAGAAGAATTTATAACGAAAGACATGCATGTTTGGCCAAAGGAAATAATTTAAGTTTATAACAAAGTGCGATGGAATTATTACAAATTGCGACAGCTTAGTTTATTACAAAGTGCGATGGACAGTTATTACAAATTGCGACAGCTTTTTTATTACAAAGTGTGACACAGTTTATTACAAATTGCGCGACGGGTATTACAAAGTGCGATGAATTTATTACAAATTGCGACAGGTATTACAAAGTGCGATGATTATTACAAATTGCGACAGTACGGCGTCGGGTGACGCTTACCGGTAATTCTGAACTCGGAAGCAAAAATGCCTCTGGCTGGTCAAGTCCAAAAGGCTTCAAGAACTGTTTTCGAAATGCCTCAATAAACTATCGACAAACTATGCAAGATGCGATAGATTTACTTAAGTAAAAATGAACATATTAAGAAGTCGGAATCACCTAGCCTGAGATCATGCCCTCTCCCTGGGCGCTTTCCATTTACGAAAAAAAACCGGAAATTTCGGTGGTAGCAAAAGTGGAATTTCCGATCGGTAAAAAGTTGTTCCATTTGGTCGTAAACCTCGGTACGTGGCCGGGTGCCCGACCGTGGACCTGGAACTGGTACAAACTACAAGAAACGTCAATGGAACACGACATTCCGTTCGGAAATTCCAACCGGGAAAACGGGACCACCTTTTTCGATTTTCCACTTTTTCTGGGAATTTTCCAGTGGGACGAACCGACGAAACGTGTTCCATTTACCGCCGAACCGGAAATTCCGGAAATTTTGACTAAATGGAAAGCGCTCCCTATTACCTCTTTATGTCTCTCACGGGAAGAGGGCATGATACATTTCTTTGTCGGATCACATGTAAAAATGCCAGAATCTGGACTTTTTTCTGATTGGATAGGAAACAATATGGATGATTTGCGTTGTTCCGATTGGCCAAAATGCCGCCATCCGTTAGTTGTTGTTGATTTCAGTCTGCATTTTTGCTTGCGTAATGAGCAGTGAATACACATGCGAGTTAGTTATGAAATTTCTGCCGGCTCAGTTTTCTTGAATTTGAAGAATGCCTAAATAGAAGTTTCATCCATTGAAATATTTTCCATCTCATTGTATACTAAAAAAGTTGCAGTCAAAATTTCACCGATCACTTGAATGCAATTTGATACCGGCTACAAGTTACAGAAGCGACAAACGGGTTCACTTTTCAAATAATCAATTCATGAATGGAATCTTGACCTGGTTTGACTGTAATTCCTCCTTCAGAAAACATGCTGCGAATTATTCTGAGCGATCTTCGCGTTCACAACAACTTTTAAGTTCGTGAAATATGGTGCTTCAGCCAAATTTTATTTTTCACTGCTTTCGGCACAGAACGAAGTCAACGAGCTTTAACCAGTAAAGATCAATAAATTCTTTATTATTTGTAGCTGTTAAATAAAGGTACGGCAGCTTCAGCTAGCAGTATTTTATCACAAAAACAACACATTAATTTTTTTTTTTTAGGAAGCGCCATCTGAACATGGACGTACTTAAAAATTTTCTTTTCCCTAAAATTGATTTCAAAAGAGACTAGCCTGAAATTCATCCGATTGCTTCGAGTCGTTTTCTCCTCTCAACAACGACGTTACTGAGGGAGTAATAACGACTCGAAGTAATCGAACGAAATTCAGGTTAAAAAGAGACATTACTGGCGCCAAAATTTGATTCCCGTATGGTAAACGCTTATTGGCTAATAACATGACAGGTCAAGCAGACGTTAGATTATGCAAATTAGGGGGCGGTTGACGGCTTGTTAAATAAATGTATCAGGCGTTATTTTTTTCCCTCTCGAGCCAAAGAAGCAAAGAAGCAAAAAATAAATAAATAAATAAATAAATAAATAAAATAACGCCTGATCTCAGGTTAGGAATCACCATGTGGCAAGATACCATTCATTGTTGGTCAATTTAGCCCGCATAACAGGCGCTTGCATTGGAAATAGTGGGCTAAAGAAAGAACGGTGCGCGCGAGAGAGACACGCGTGTCTGTTCACTCGCGCGTGTCTCCCTCTCGCCCGCCCGTTCTTTCCTGCGCCCAAATACTTTCGCGCGCCTGCTACACTGGCTATGTTCAATACGGACTATTCAACAGAGACGACGTTGTCGACAACAATCGTCAGCAATCGATATCAATCGAGCTCCTGGCTGACCCGCCATGAATTTTTGACGCACTTTTAGAGACACGGTGCTTAAAGAAATTGGGAAGATCTATGCTATGCGAGGAAAAAAATTAGTTCTTTCTTTCCCCGCCCCTTACACTAGCGTCTTATTTTGCGTGCTGTTTCCAGTCTCGCGCGGTTTCTCGCGACTTCCCCAAAGGAAGAACTTGCTCACAGGCTACATCCATACAAGCTAAGCGCACAACCGCAATTTCTCCGCGTGAAACTAGAGCGCTGGTAATTTTGTAGCATTTTTGACAACATGGCCTTTATTCATGAAACTGCGAACGTGAGTTTCAAATGTGGGTCCAAGGCAGTTTACAATTAGCTACCTATAATCAGCCAGTGGGCCACTGAATCAATGCGCATGGTTTTAACTCCCATAGACTGCGAACGTACAGGAAATCGAAGATTGTTGCAAAGCTGATAACATCCAGCGTTGTGTTGTAGAAAGTATGCCTTTGCGTTACGTCTAAGTACTCGGCTTTGACTGAACAAAACACATTCTACATGATTGCTATCGCAGACTTGGTCTTGACTACTTGGCTTACGCACTATTTTTCAACTAGTTAAAAAGACATAGTGTTTATTGTTAACCTGGTAGGCTGTCCAATCAATGGACACCATTAAAACATTTTCGACTCGCCTTAACATGTTTTGGGTTACTAGACTTGTTATCCGAAGGGAACGTTTATCTTTATTTACCGAACCTACCCCAGGATTTGAGTACTGAAGCTCTCTGAAGCATTTATCATCTTAATGTAAGGTTTAAATATCATTTGGCAGAGATTTAAGTGAAATTATGAGACCGAGACTCCCCTGTCAGTGAAGAGATGTCAGTAACAATTTACAAAATACGCTTCAGGGGAGCAAAGAGCGTCGTCCTCAAAATGAAATTGTACGTGTTTCAAGCGAACTCAATCTAAACCGGCATTAACAGTGTATCCAATATCTTAACTCGACATTTTTTTTTTTTTTTTTTGGGGCGGGTGGGAGGGTAAGGCCTAATTAGAAAGCCTGGGTTTTCGATTTAGTTTGCCTCATATTTGAAGTTGGGCGCATTCATGGTAGTTGGATGTACAAGTAAATCACAAGTAGCAAGTTTATCTTAATTTTATATTGACTATTTTGCTTAATGTAAACATTACATCCACGTTCAACGTGAAAGAAAGGTGTCTATACATTTCGAAGCTGGAAATTGAAGCTTAGCTGTCAGTAGCGACTTCAATGATTTATAAAATGCTCGAAAACACAAGTGCAGCTACTATAATAGACGACAAGTTCAAAAAAGCACAACAAAACAAAAACATGACAACACAAAACTTAAACCTGTTTATGCTTTTTCCCGTATTCTAGCAGAACATGTTCTTGTTATTAACCTCTCTGGCTACAAAGAGATGCCACAGCCGAAGTCTAAAATGTCAGTCGTCTCCACCCCCAAACCCTTGCAGAATCTCTTTCCCCCGCATCCCCCACGGGTTAGGGGAGTGGAGACTGCTGACATTTAAGTCTACGACAGCCAGAAATAAGTCTGCATTGACATGCTATTCATTTTTCGACTCCAGGCGCGGATCCACACCGGTTTCCACGGTTTTACGGAAATCGGTCCGATATTTCATTAAAAAAATATCTTTTCTGGAAAATGGTTTGGATAATTTTTCTCCCTCTAATTTCCAGGCATTAGAAATAATAATAATATTCCGTCGATTTGTAAGGCTTCATCCGAGGAGAATGGAACTGGTCAATACACTGTCCAAACTTTATGACTCAGAAACCCAGGTATGGGGACTTTAGGGAGTTAAATCCAATAGTATTTCCTGGGAAAGCATGCCCCGGGACTCCGCCTTGTTTAGGAAATCGGTCCGTATTTATCCTAGATCCGCGCCTGAGCTCCTTTTTTTATCTTACGAACAACACGAAAAGTAACTTCAACAGTGCAATGATCGTTGCTGGAAATAAAAACGTTTCAAATTTAAATTGTGCCGCTAATACTAAAAGACTTAGAAATAAACATGTTTTACAAGAGGTCACATAAATTATTAGCAACCTTCATGAGTATAAATATAAAGAATAAAACGGTCAAAAGATTGACATCTTTCAAATCTGAATCTTCTTCCGATGCCCCGCCTCACGTACAAAGATAAAACTTCTTTTGTAGAGCCGGCCATGATCAGTTATAGAGAACCAGCTCCGAGGGATGTGTACACTATATTAAACTGTAACCACTCTGACAAGATGGTCAGTCATTTCGCATTAGAAAATTGAATGACTACTTCTTATTGGCATTAGAAATATTCACTGTCCATGCTTGACAGAACGACATAGTTATCGCACTTTAACTCAACTTCAGTTCACGTTTCTTTGTAGTTTCGTTGCAAATTTCTTAAACTGCTAGTGACTAACTTGATCGGGTAGGCACGAGCTATTTGTCGCTACAGAGCCATCTAGGAAATAGGAAAGTCCCTCATTCACATGTGCAACACGTGATCACGACAAGGCCACGAGCATGACTAATGATCTTTTACGGGGGTGTAGGTAGATCATCCGAGCGAGACTGACCTATTGCATATTGGCGCAATATTTCCGGAGCGGCCATGTAAGCTGTTGGGATGTGAAGGACAATAATCTTGTCTTTATCCAACTCAAAATGTACAAAGTCCTCTCTGTTCAGAAGAGTGGGGTCTTGGTCCACACCAGAATTCTCTTCAGCCGTTTGTATTGATGAAAAGAAAGAGTCCCGTGCACAAGAATCTGATTTCACAAAATCTTGTTTTCTGGGATCTGTGGATGAGGTTCTGTCTTCCGATAAAGAATCAACGTCACTATCGCAAACTGAGCTTCCTCTCTCGACGTCCTTCTTCACATCCTCTAAAGTTTTGAGTTTTGCACAAGAACGGCTGTCCGATTCATCCATTCCCTGACTGATTTCCTTTAAAGGTATAATATTTTCATTTTGCCTGGGGTTTGCCCCAGAGCTTTTGACAGTAACTTCGTTCTGTTTAGGTAAAGGACTAGCTTTGAGACAGCTATCTGTAGTCACAGTTATTTCAGTTTTTGCAGCTGAGTTGTGAGAGTCACCATTTTTGCTAAAAGGCCTTGTAATGTCGTCCAACACAGAGGCAAGATGTTTAAGGTTCAGAATTGGAATTCCGTTCACCTTGAAAAGCTGAAGATTTGCCATTGTTTCATAGCCTGTAGTCAATTCTGCAGCCAGGACCTGGGAAAAAAATGACGGCATTGCTGAATCAACGCAACACTTGTAAATAACACTTTCAGCTGAGGAGCACCGTGATTTAGTGGATAGGGTTTATAAACCACTCTCGCACTAAAAGGGCCAAACCTTTACTTCCCCGAGATCTAATGCTTTTTAGTTCCAGGGCCCACGAAACCTCCAAGAAATTAAAGTTTTCGGTGTTCTGCTTGACCCCAATGGAACAAGCAGTCTCTCATCCACAGCGACCAGCTGGAACAAAACGTTTGAGCACTATACTAGACCTTACTTCACACTTGAAATACCAGTGTGAAACCAACCCATATTTCATCACCACTGGAGCTTTGTACCCTCCCCACTCACTGTTATGATCCGTCAGTGCCGGCTTTAAGAGGTCACTGATCCGGAAAGCTTTTTGGCCACTAACTCATATCAGTTTTGTAGCTATTCGGAGCCGCACTGCTCACGTACTACCCTCCTTCCGGGAAGAATTTCCGCTTTATTTTCCATAAGAAAGAGCTGTTAAGATGTCTGCACAGTCACAGTTAAACTCACCTGACTCAGTAAGATGACTTCCTGTCCTGCTTTATTTAAAACACCGTAAAGAACGCGGTCGCACAGTCTTATGGGCGCTTTTCGTGCCCAGTCCTTGCAGTACTGATGCTGCATGTAAGGCTGGGACAGAGACACAAATACCAAACCAGCATACACCAGGTAACTATGGTGATAACAATAGAACACAACAAAATGAAAAGCATCCTGCGATTACTCGCTAGTGTATAAATTCTTTCTGTTATTCCTTATTTCTTATTGCGACATACCGCACACCCGGGGAACAAAGGACAGGCACAGCATTCCAACAAAATTCGAAATCTAGCTGTTTATCCTACTAGCAGAGTTGTGCCCCTCTCTCAGAGCAGACAACAATCCTCGCCCCTATGCAGGCCATTATTTTTTCTTTGAAGTTTTAAGCAACTCTCGTGTCAAAGTTCATCCGCTCTTAACCCTATTCCTTTACTTAGAGGGGTCGCGACGGGACTTTTGCAAAACCCAAATTGTAAATGTTGTCATTTTTAACACTGAAATAAATTCTTGCAAAATAATTTTTACCGAGAAACAAAGGCTAACTGACATAAGACCAGACCCCAGTTGTTCAAAGGGTGGATAACACTATGATCCACTAGATTAATCTTTATCCCGGCTTATGATGTCGCAGGTAACCGGTCAAGTCACCCGAAAGTCATCTCGCCCGAAGTTATATCGCCCAAAACCAGAGCCATGTCGCCCGATGATGCTATGGTGAGACGAAACAAGCGGGATGAATGAGTATCATAACCCGTTCTTTATGCGATGAAGCGACGAAACAAGCGAGATGAATGTGTAACATATCTCCTTCTCAGAAGAAAGTCTGCGAAAAAAATTTTTTCAGGCTTTTTTTTCGCAGCTGCAAAAGTTGAGTCTGTAACTGCGATGATCTTCGTTCATATAAATTCTTCACCCCGCAGTTCTCCTATATGATTTTCATATATTCATAACTTCGTATCTCGTTCTTTTAGCTTTGATGAAACAAGCACGTCAAATGAGTAATATGTCTTGTTCTTAAAGATTTGATGAAACGAAACAAGCACTTTTAAGGTGTAGGATGTTGCTGAGCATGATAAAATTTCTGGACTACGAGTAGTCCCCATTTTCCCTCAGGGATAGCAGAACGGGCGAAACGCGAGCGCGCGTGAAAATTATCCCACGCAAGAAAGGCGAGACGGGGCGCCTTTCTCGCGTGGGGTTATTTTCACGCGCGCTCACATTTCGCTTGCTCTACTATCCTGGGGGAAAAATGGGGACTACTCGTAGTCTATAAAATTTCAGGCGACATAACTTCGCGGGCAAGATGACTTTAGGGCAACTTGACCGTAAACCATACTGCAATAGGGGTTCCTAATAATTTTCCGCTGGAAAGTGATTTGGATAGTGAACGTCTGAACAACAGAGGGCCAGGCTGATACCTGGGTGTGCCGTGTATTGCAGTCAGTCAGTACGTACCTTGGTCTCTTGTCATACAGCTGAGTAGGAACAAGTGATGTTACCAAGTCAAGTTTAACCTCCACTGTCATTACTTCACCCTGCCTCAGAATCTTCAGCTTACACATGTCACCAAGAAACATTTGCGACAATTTGTAATCAAACAGAATGCGCTCGTTTCCACGGAAATGAACCTGGAAGAGACACGATTTAGAAGAAATCCAGTTACACTTTCTTTGACAACTGCGGGTTTTTCTACCGGTGAGAAATATTTAACTAATACCCAAGTTATCGCTTCTTTGTTGATATGCTTGTTATTGCTTGTTCGCTTATTATGTTGAGTATAATATGAAGAATTATGCAGATTATGGAGGCAGATAACCGTCTCCAAGATCTGCGTAACTCTTCACATCATTTACTCCCCTTTTGACGATAAAAAAACACTGTTACTTCCTGGACGTCAGCACACGGTTATAGGACACAGTAAGAAAAACATATCTTTTATCTAGTTTCCAAGTAGTTAATTTTCCGTTATGCCGTTATGTAGCACTGAATTATAGCACCCCCTTTTTTCGCATTTTTCTGGCAGAGCTTATGAATTAGTGAGAAATAACCTAACTCTTAACTCGAACTCCTAACTCACTCTCGAGTTTAACTCGAAATGAATAGAGAGTAGTGCGGTTATTTCTCACTAATTCATAAGCTCTGCCAGAAAAATACGAAAAAAGGGGGTGCTATAATTCAGTGCTACATAACGGCATAACGGAAAATTAACTACTTGGAAACAACCACTTAAGGTTGAATATCATCTCTTACTAATTGAACGATACAAGTACGAATTTCAGATCTACTGAGTTCTAAAAGCTGGTTATACCGGTAAGTAAACTATGGGCGTCTGAGACACCCCTTCTCCAGGCTGTTTTACGTTTCTCTTTTGCTTTTCATCTACAAAGCGCATATCTGACGCGTATTTGCGCGTAAGGCAAAACCCAGTCTTAAAAACTGTTTTTTAAAACAGCAAAAACGCCCAAAACTAAAATGATCTGTAACAATAAGAGCATATTTTTTCATGTGAGAAAATTGATTTCTTATCAGTTAAGGAACCAAGATTACACTTATTACACTTGGGTATATGAAATGAGTAACTATTAAAAAGTCAGGTGGTGCTAATCCATTTAAAAAAAGCCATGAAGATGACCAGCAGTATCATGAGTACTAATCACAGTTCACAGTTGGTAGAGGTGACAGCAGGCGACAACTTGCAGTTCAAGAGTTCCAGGAGTTAAAGCAGACTCAAATGCCCCAATCTGACCCCAACTGGAGTTGTTTCCAGTCGGTACTCCCCTACTTCCGAGTTCAAGTCTCCAGCAACACATGTAAATATCCCAGTGGTTTGTCTCCTTCCATTTGGGAGTCTTATGTTCATATGAATCATATTTGACTCATTAATTTACTCAGCCCCACTAGCCTCTGTGTGATGAATGCTGCTAAGACTTAAATACCTTACTTGTACTAAAATTCGCGTCGTACTCATTTTCGCTCAGCTTTAAATTCGCGCGATTTAATTTCGCGCAGCTTTAAATTCGCGCAAGTAATTTTCCGTGTTCATTCTTTTTGGTTTGTTTCATAGAGCTACTAACAATTAACGCATTTATAATGAGTGTTTTTTATCAACAAATAATACAATATTTGTCAAAACTTAATCAAAAAGCAATTAGGTGGCCCTCAAAAAATGCCTTCAGCTTTGAAAAAAAAAAAAAAAAAAAAACAGTAGTTTCTCTAGCAACCTTTGTGGCATTACAGGTGTGGTATGGAATCCCTAATGAAGGGTTCCCAAGTCTCCACTAAATAGTGGGTAAGGTGGGGAGGGAGGGTGTGTGTAAATGAGAGTGTTGTAGGCATAAAAACAAATAAAATTGGTTAACAGTTAAATAGTTAGAAAAAGCACCAATATTGAGCGACCAACAACTGCAATGCAGCCACGTCCAACACAAATATACAGTGCAAAGTAAAATGTTAAAAGTTAAAAACACCGATATTGAGCGACCAACAAACTGCAATGCAGCCACGTCCAACACAATACACAGTGCAAAATAAAACAAAAGGAACTGAAGGGTTAATATATAATATAATATAAAGTTAAGCACCTTGAAACGAGGGAAACAGGTTTCTAGGACAAATAGATCCATTAGCTATAACCGTAGCAAGATGCCTGCAGCATTGACACATGAAAGTACTGAAAGGTCTTGGAAAAAAGGTAAATGATTACTTACTCTAAAATACTTCAGATAGCCTCTGTAGCAGACCAATTAGCGAGCAAAAAAACTTGGAAACTCCTCAGCTAGTAGACAAAAATTCCTCTTCTCATGGATGTGGCCCACAAAAAGTAGCAAAAACAATTTTATTGCTGCTCACGCCATAGTTAATCGTCAGCATGATAACGTACAAAATGAGAGGAGTCTGGGGACGAACTTATCCCAGCTGAATGAAAACGAAAATGGATGAAAAAAGGGGGTTACCCAACTTAAACATGACTTTTTTTAAAAAATAGATAAATAAATAAATAAATAAACTGCCAACCAGAAAATATAATTATCTATAATGTTATTTCGTTCTTAAAACTTTGAAAGTGGCTAAAAAGCCAGTTGCTGTTCTAGTGGAAAATGGGCGGGAAAAAAAAAAAAAAAGGAAAAAAAAGGAGGGGTTAAACCCTCTTTAAAAATTGTTATTAAAGAAGATAAATTGCTAACCACAAAATATGATGATCTATAATATTATTTCGTTCTTTAGAACATCGAGAGTAAGGAAAAAAATTTGTAGCTGTTCTAATTAAAGGAGGGTGTTAAAAAAGAACAGGGGACTCAAGTAAAAAAAAAAAACAAAAACAAAAACATCTACAATAAAAAGAGGAAGTGGGAAAAGAAATAAAACAACAACAGCAACAACAACAAGAATACCCATCCCGAATTACTTCGTTCTTGAAACTTTTTAGTGTAAAATTCCAGGAAGTAGAAAAAGGTAATTTGCAGATAAAAGAAAACATGGAAAAGTAGGAAAGAGAAGGTTAAGAGACCCGGGTATGTTGGGACAATGGATGCATCGACACCAAGGCTCTAAAAAGTTGTGAATCATCAGGGGCATAGCACAACTGAGCAGGAATGTTTCTAACCCGGTACCAGGTCATATGCCCGACATTCCCGTGTCGAGTCCAGGAAAGAAGGAAATTGAAGAAATAGAAAAAGACTGAGAGAAGATGCAAAAGAAAAGTTGTACTTGATAGACTCCCCATTTTATTGCTCAAAATAATCTATCTCGATCTCCTGTATAGGTCAAATAAAATTAATCTAAACAAAGTAGAGTAAATAAATTAGAGAACAAAATACATATATATTGAAAAATAAATAAAAGGCAGTTAAAAAATAATTATAATAATAAAGAACTAGTGAAAACTATATGAAGTGCCAGTGTGGGAGGAGATAGTAAAAATATGTAAGTGGTGTGAATTGTGGGAGATAATGATAAACTATGTCTGAGTTAATATGTAGTTTGTGCTGAAAAAATTAATAGGAAGATTAGTTGAAAATAAAATATAAAGTGGAGTGAATGGAAGTATGTGAACACCATAAACCATTCAAAGAGTTGACTAGTACCCAAAATGGTACCCCTACTGTTAGGTACCCACCATAGCTTTGAAAAAAAAACAAAAAACAGTAGTTTCTCTAGAGAAAGAGAAAGTAGGCGACAGGCCAGCGAAGCTCAACGAGAAAAAGAGTGACAGAGCTAAAGCGGAGATAAAAAAAAAGGCAAAGGAGACATTTTTTATTGGAAGAACCATGAAAAGTGGGGGTGAGAAAATGAGAAATGTTAGCGACCACCCAGGTGAAAATGAGCGGCAGTGAAAAAAAGAAGTGAACAAGAACACTGACATACGGCATTTCCTTCATAAAACGTGTAACTAGGAAGTATCTGGACGTTTCACGTTGTATTCGTGCAAAACAATGGCAAAGAAATGTACAAAAAAGTGTGCTGCACGTACAAAGTTGCTTTTTGCTAATTAGAGCTTTGTTGTTTTTTCACCGTTCTCGATGCCTTCGCCGCTTAGCGTCAAACGATTTTATATTTTGTTGGAGCAAAGTGTAAATATTATCGAGAGCTTCCCTTTTAGCCCTGGCTAAATCTATATATGAAGGTTCATTTTGGTGACCGAACCAAACTTCTGATTTTAGCGCGCTGCACAGTGAAATATGACCAACTAATTTGACAAATCATAGCACACAAACTCGGAGAGAGGGTTACCCTTGTGCTAGGGTTACCCTTTCACAGGTACGGTTACCCTTGGGCTCGATTTCCGCCGTCTCCCAGGTCTGGTGTTTGATCCTCCCCGAAGGATGAGTGCAGGCTCATTTTCCCGAACAGCGGCTGGTAATCGAGCCTGCTAGGGGTGCTTACCATTTGACAGAAAAAACCGGTTGGGGTGTCGAAAGCATAATGGTAAGCAATTTACCAGTTTACCGTAGAAATGCCACATCCGTTACAGTTTGAATCCAAAAAAGGGCGAATTTGTGTAGCGTGAGTCTGGAACCGGGAAGTAACTAGCCTGCAGTGCAGGCGTTTTCTTTGAGCGCGCAATTTGCTCGCGAAAGCACCATGTTTCTAGTCTCCCCAATCTTTCACTGTCATAAAATCAAAGATGGCGCTACACCAATATTACGAACACGAACAAGGTTTCGCCCACCCAAAATACGCCTGTACTGTAGGCTAGGAAGGAACCGAGAAATTGGTTAATGGTAAGAAACATTCCGTTTGGTTCGTACCAACCGGAATGAAAGGACTACCTCAAAACGTACTCCTCGATTTTGGTTGGAATTTCCGAAAAGTGACCTTACCATTTACCTTCCATCCGGAATTTCCGAAATTTTCTGTAAATGGTAAGCACCCTGGGTCAACTTTACCAGCTTTACTGACATGTTTCGTCCTGTGTGACATTCTTTGTAACGTCCAAGATTTGAAATAAAACTTGAAGTTCTCTGTGGAAAACACGTTAAAGTTACGAAAAACGGAAGAATATTACCATCGTTGACAGAAATTACCTTATATTGTCCAGATGTTTATAATTGTCCATTTGCACACGTTGTTGCGTGTT